AAAGCCAGTTCAGCCATAACGGGAGACGAGAAAAGCTGACACAAAGAAAGAATAGTAGCCTGGTGGCGGTGACCACGGAGAGCGAAGCACAAAGTGTACCCCAAGAGGCAATCCCGTCAAACTGTGAGATTTCATGCAACGCAGACGGATTTTATGCCCGGAGGGGCAAACGAAGGATCATACCCGAGGCTACCAAGCAAGAATTTAACGAGTTGCCGTGTCGCGCTCATTATATATGCAGTGAGAATAGTCAAGTATATCATTCTGATTGCAGCGTAACTGCATAGCCAACAAACAAATATTACTGATCATTATCACTCCTTCTAAGCGGCGAAAGTTGATTTTAAATCTTGGGAACATAAAAGCTGAGGACTAAATCATAACTTTAAAAGCTTTGAAAGTGAGAAAACTAGGTTAATTTTGATGATAATGATGGTGCTGATGATGAAAATGATGACAATGATGATGATGCCGATTATGAGAATGAAAACAATCCCGGACGTTATAAAGCAGGATAAAAGTAAAGGTGATAATGACAATTTAAATAGAGATGGTTAATGCACAAAGTAAAGGACATTGCAGTTTAGTGTATTAATAATAAAAACATCCTTCAATAAACTAGAAAACAAGTAACTTCACTTGTGTAGTGGTTTATCAATAATGTTACAAATACATAATCTTTCAATGGCATCTAAAAAAATTGGCATCCCTCCCTCCCTGCCTTCAAAACTTTTTACCACCCGTCTTTTCCCTTCAAAAAATTTTAAGGCTGCCGCAAAAATCATCTGTTTCCCCCCCCTCCCCACCCCCCGTGGTATACACAATGAATACAGCCTAATGTCGCAATGAGGCACAACCTTCGAGGTGTTCAAAGAATTGGCAAGTTTTTAAAGCAGACCTCATACCTGCTGATAGCGAATTCAAAATTGCGAATGGTTAAAAAGAGAATTTGAAAAACAGTAATGAAGAAAGAAAAGGGCAGATGGAAACTGAATATGAGGTAATGAGGATGGAAAAAAACTTAATCGAAGACGAGAAATAAACAATTGCTAAACCTCCCGGCTCCCCTTTTTTTCGATTTTTTTTCTCGACCATGGGTCTCAATGTTAGCTACACCACTCCAGACCTTCAATTCGCAAGTTTAAGGTAACCGGAACAATTTGTCTCAGTTATTTCCAATTCGTAATATACAAATACAGTAGAACCTATCCTTTGGGACACCTCTATTCAGGGAACACAAAATTTTGTGTCGGAAAAACGTCCACATAATCTGTGTATCTGCTACCTTTATTGAACGGACACCTCTATTCAGGTAGCGTTTGTCTTGTTTTCCGAGCACTATTCGTCGTTGCATTGGTGCCATGTGTCTCACACTTAAAAGGGATCATTGAAAGTTTTCTTTTGTGTCCTATTGTCCTCTCTTGTTTACAATGCACTGATTTTATCACGGACTTACCATCCCATCCTCTGTATATCACGTTGCGAACTTTTCGTTATGTCTCAGGCTTTCAGTTACCAATCTGACAGCGTTTTTAATGTAATAGCCAAAGCGGTTTTTACAATTCACTCAGATATTAGAGGAGAAAATGAGGAGCAAGGGGGTCGAGCAAGGGTGGTGCAGTGCATGGTGCATATCCCGGCGTCGACGCCATTTGTGGGTTGAGTTTGTTGTTGGTTCTCTCCTTTGCTCTGAGACGTTTTTCTGCAGTTACTCCAGTTTTCCCCTTTCCTCAAAAACCAACATTTCCAAATTCCAATTCGACCAGGAATCAGGTAGACGAAGAACCACTATGTGCAGTGCCAATCGACTACTTCACCTGATCGCAACCTCCAAATCGTTTTTATTTATTTTATTTATTCATTTAAATCAAATATTAATTTTAAAAGATAGACCCCAACCCCGCGTTTTACTAGGGAGCGAAAGCAACGACGACGGTTACGGCAACAAGACGGCAATAAACCGATAGGTTTTAGGTTAGCAAAATAACAGCTTTGTACGTGCATCACGCTCAGTTTTTTGTACATTTCTTTGCCGTCGTTGCATGATTAGAACGTGAAAATGCCTAATTTCACGTTTTGTCGAGGACGGAAACACAAAACAACAATTTTCTTTTTCATTTCCTGAATTTTGATACAATGCTTGAGAATTCAACTTCAAAGACATTTGTCAACATTTGACGAATTAAACGAGATGGAGTAAGCGCGATAAAATTTGAGACAATGCGAATTCACTTTTTAGGTGACGTTTTCGTAGCCGTCGCCTTCGCCGTCGTCGTTGCTTAAGGTGATGTTACACGGAACGATTCGCAACGACGATTTTTAGCGCAACAGAGCGTTGCAATGTTGGAACAATGTTGTAACAATTTGAAACAATGTCATAACAATATTGCAAGGCTGCGTTGCGCTAAAAGTCGTCGTTGCGAATCGTCTCGTGAAACATTACCTTTAAGCTCTATCTGGCGACCTTACGAAACTGCCACGGCGACGAGAACGTCATAAAAGCAATAGGTTTAATGAGCAAAAAAAAACTCTGCTCGTGCATCATGCTTTTTTGCACATTTCTTTCCCGTCCCTGCACAACTACGCCTTGAAATGACCAACGGGAACGGGAACAGCAAGGCGATAAATTCTACCATCTCTCTCTGAAATCGGCCGCGGTTCCTTCTCTTCCGCTCCAACCAAAATTCCCTTCTTTTAAGTAACAAGGCAAATTGGGATAATCGCGAAAAAGTTTAAAAGAATACGAAGTCTATTTTCCAGCGATGTTTTCATTTACGTCGCCGTTGTCGGATCGTTAAGGTCCCTCTTGCAAACACCTGACGGCGACGGCTACGAAAACGTCACTTAAAATGTGAATTCGCGCTGCGCATAAAAATTATCTTACACTGACCCGAAATTTGAAAGGAAACGCATTTAAGGGAGATATTTTATGGTACTTCAATTTTTCAACAAAGTACTATGATTTGTATTAGCCACCATGTTGGAGGGCATACTCTTGTCCTCCAACATGGCGGCCAAAACTACTTTTTGCTTGTGTCTTGTTAAACGTTTGTTAGTTACGTTCAGATGTGCTGTAAACGTTACCACATCATCCTTTTCAACATTTTCCTTGAAGTTTAAGTGCAACATTTTGTTTTCAGAGAGAGGTAATTCATAAGTTAAGAATCACGTTTTGGTCACGTGACCAGCTATGAACTTACTCATTTAAGAAAATGATGCGGGTTTGAAAAACTAAATCACTGTTATTTTGTTTAAGATATGACCCACTAATCGGTTTTGAAGGCAAAATCATATAACTTTCATTTTCATTAAAATGATGTCACGTGACTCTTAGTGCAAATGACCTATTCGTCAAGATTAATGTTGGTAATGTTTTCTGGAGTTGTATTCTGAAAAACTGTGTTCCCGTTCTCCACAAAACGTGAAATTGGGAAGTTTCAGCTCGGAGTCGTGCAGTGACAGCTAAGAAATGTATGAAAAATGGTGATGCACGTGCAAAGTTTTTGTTTTGCCTATCTTATTTCTGTTTTGCTGTTCTCGTTGATGTCGCCGTCTTCGTTGCTTAAGCTAAATAGAGAACGAGAACGGTTTAGATTGGCAAGACAACAACTTTGCACCTGCATCATGCTTTTGCTGTCACAGCAAGACTACGACGTGAAAGTGCCTAATTTCACGTTTTGTGGAGGACTCGTACACAAGACTGCAATTTTCTTTTTCTTTTCCTCAACTTTAATACTGTCTCTTAGAATTCAACTCCAAAAAACATTTTCCAACATTTGACAAACTGAAAGAGATGGAATAAGCCCTTTAAATTTGAAGCGGGGAGTCGAGCGAGAAGTCACTTTAAGGTGATGTTACACGAGACGATTCGCAACGACAATTTTTAGCGCACCACAGCATTACAACATTGTTGCGATATTGTCTCGGATGGTCGCAACATTGTTCCAGCATTGCGAAGCTGTGTTGTGCTAAAAATCGTCGTTGCGAATCGTCCCGTGTAACATCACCTTTATGCACGAACGACGCTTAAGGTCCATATGTTCAACGGGGGAGGGGGGGAGGGGGGAGCGGTGTGCTACATAAAAAATGCATGTATCACAAAGTTATGTGACATTGTATGTACAGAAAAAAGCTTAAAAGTCGCAAAGTTTAACTACTCACTGTTCTGATGTAGAAAACGGCAAATTTACTTCAATAGGCAAAATGTGCTTACTTATGATTCTTGAATTGAGCGAAGTTTTTAAATACAAGAGTTTTTTATAACGCCGGATTTTTTGTTAGTTTTACAAATTTGAAAAAACATTTTATTCCTGATGGAAAGGATTTTGTTGTTTTGAATTTTCAAGAAGACCACTATACCCCACGTACCTACTGTATGAAGCTGCATGACAAGGAGTTTTATGAGCATTATAAATATTGAACGTTTTCTCACTCTAACCAGTAAAGATAGACAAATAATGTACACTCTAATGTGAGGCGATTAACAGTAATGGTGCAAATTAATAGATTTGTCGATGTTAGCTTGTTATTCATTGGTCCTGAATTGATAACCGGCATCAGCATTACTTTTCACTTCTTTCCTTTCCTTTTTAATAGTAGCTAACAATTCACAAAAACAAACATTTTCTTTACACTGATGCTGTTTTCGTCCAGACAGAAACAATGCAGAAAACGAATGAGGTAATCCGATTTGGATTTATTGCTTTGTTTGAAAACGCTATTTGCAGAAACAAATGGAGAAAGCGCTTGACCAACTGGTATAAGTGGGTAAATAATTAATCTTTTAACCTGTAGAGTGGCGCCATTGCGCTAGTAACTTCAATGAAGGCCGAACTGTACATGTCCTCCCAAGGGACTAACAAGTTAATTAACTGGATTAATAATAATGCACGATATAGTGCTTTGATATCGATTTGAAGAACAAATATAACTCGTAACATGGTAAACAAGCGAGTGGGAAGAGGACAAATTATGATTCTCCGCACTCTTTTGCATCCACGATGTTTGTAAGAAGCGCTCGAGAATCACCCTCTGTTGTGTCCACGCGAGTCTTGAGAACTCATCGCAAGAATTCAGTGGAAAATTTTCGGCTACAGGAACGAGTGAAAACAATTGACTTTGAAAGCAAGCATAACTATTTACAAATCTCGGACGAGATTGATGGGGTTCGCCAAAATTTAGTCAAGATAAAAGGTGTAAAAAAGAATGTTGGTGTTAGCGTAGAAAGGCGGAAACTATTGCGTGATAAGGGGCTTCGAATTTTGCCCGTTAAGCATAACGACAAAGACGATTACTTCAAAGTGCGGACCCCACAAGGCAAGGACGTTATTATTTCTTGCTCAGATTTTTACGATGGAGAGACCATGAGGAAACGCCTTAGCATCGATGTACATGAATCAGCTAGAACTCCATGCCTTGATGTAGAAAATTCCGATGGTGAAGAGCTATTGGATTCCGGATTACCTGAAAGTCGAAATCGGCGTCATACCATATCTTTGGATAGACCATTTCGTTACAGGAACATAACACCGCCTTTACGGCCAGGATCTAGAAGAAACTTCAAGGACGTCGAGGAAAAAAATTCGGAAGATGAAGAAAAACTTCTTGAAAAACTCAGCAGCATGGAAAGAAAATATGGAATTTTAAGGCCACAGACTGCTTATTTAAGGGAAAGAGATCGTCAAGCTTCACCGCGTCCGAGAAGTCGCACCTGCCCGGCCGAAGTACAATCCGGAGAAACCACCTCGGCCCCTTATAGGAAGATATCCAGAAAAAATTCAGGAATTGTTGGAAATACAAGAAAAAAGTCTCGTGGAAATCCCTCTGTGGACAATGAAACAAGCACCACAACGAAAACGACCGAAGAGCAGATGATGCAGGCAAAAGGCAACCAGCAGGAAGTTTGCCTGAATACCAACGTAGTTTTGGAAGAGACTATCCCGTTGAGTCCGAGCGTTAGACCAGGTTTAAGGGCAAGGTCGATGACCGTGGTATCAGGACAATCCCACTCTGGTATTTCGCGAACCGTTGTTGGTATTAGAAGAATGAGCTTGGACAGAGATAAATCTATTCGTCTTCCATCTTCCCCGTCGGCTGGTAGATGGTTTCAGCCGGACACTCCTGAATTTAGTCCAATAGATGAAGATAATGAGAAAGTGGAACAAAAGTTGTCTAAATTCACCGAAAGGAAAGTTTCGTGGAAGGACAATTTAAATGACGATCGCGAAAGTAGGATTGACGAAAGCAGTCTCTTCAATGGGTGTCCGACACCATCAACGGAATCTTTCGCTGTTAGAGATGGTAGAAAGGAAAGTGTAATGAGTACAAAAAGTCGAACAAGTTGCGATGTACGCGCGCAAAGTGCGCCTCATTCGCATTTATCTTCCAGAAAAGTATCCAGACGATCCAGTCATAATTTTGCGTACGACGCACAACCCGACAAGGCTCTGACCAAAGGCTACGTCACCATGCAAATGACTATTGGCAATAAACAGGTCAAAGTGTATGTACCTAAGTTCTCTACTGATTGTTTGGATGATGTTGTCGAGAGAGCTCGAGCAAAATCAGCTATAAAAGCTGTAGGTAATCAGGGCCGACCGTTGAAAAATAGGAGATAACCTATACGCCAGGTTCGGACGTGGATTTACCAGAGCGAGACACCACACTACAAAACTCTATGATTTCTTTAACATATAGCTCTAATGGATGACATTATTGAAAACCGTTACCAATAGTGTAATTGACTTAATGAAATATTAAAGCACCTTTATACGAGTTTAACATTGTGTATGTGTTTTTTAATGAAAACATTTCATTCAGTTGGATTAAAGTAAAATAAGACTTCACCGAGGTGAGTGGCCTGAATTTCAGCTTCCTCCTCCTCCTCCGCTCGTTAAGTCAGCCTGCGNGATGGTTTCAGCCGGACACTCCTGAATTTAGTCCAATAGATGAAGATAATGAGAAAGTGGAACAAAAGTTGTCTAAATTCACCGAAAGGAAAGTTTCGTGGAAGGACAATTTAAATGACGATCGCGAAAGTAGGATTGACGAAAGCAGTCTCTTCAATGGGTGTCCGACACCATCAACGGAATCTTTCGCTGTTAGAGATGGTAGAAAGGAAAGTGTAATGAGTACAAAAAGTCGAACAAGTTGCGATGTACGCGCGCAAAGTGCGCCTCATTCGCATTTATCTTCCAGAAAAGTATCCAGACGATCCAGTCATAATTTTGCGTACGACGCACAACCCGACAAGGCTCTGACCAAAGGCTACGTCACCATGCAAATGACTATTGGCAATAAACAAGTCAAAGTGTATGTACCTAAGTTCTCTACTGATTGTTTGGATGATGTTGTCGAGAGAGCTCGAGCAAAATCAGCTGTAAAAGCTGTAGGTAATCAGGGCCGACCGTTGAAAAATAGGAGATAACATATACGCCAGGTTCGGACGTGGATTTACCAGAGCGAGACACCACACTACAAAACTCTATGATTTCTTTAACATATAGCTCTAATGGATGACATTATTGAAAACCGTTACCAATAGTGTAATTGACTTAATGAAATATTAAAGCACCTTTATACGAGTTTAACATTGTGTATGTGTTTTTTAATGAAAACATTTCATTCAGTTGGATTAAAGTAAAATAAGACTTCACCGAGGTGAGTGGCCTGAATTTCAGCTTCCTCCTCCTCCTCCGCTCGTTAAGTCAGCCTGCGCGCGTGACGAAGTAGAAAATTAGTAAAAGTGAATACAGGGGACACTGACGTGAGTTGAAATTACGGGAAGCCAGGCTACGAGGTGAGCTATACTTTCTGCCTTCCACCGTTACTTTGAGACCTACACCATCTGCATTTTTCATAGTAGCACCACCTTAAACATTGATTAATAATTTTGCAGCAATTAAAACCGCTCATCTTTCTCCTAAATCACTAATTATGTCGGACTATTTTTATCTCTCGGAAAGGATACGGCGAGAACTTATGAATTCAATTTCATATTATGATATTTTATCAGCTTCAAGTGTTAAAGAGCCTCTTTTTAATTGCGTCCTTACTGATACTTCAATAATAAGACGTTATTTGTCATTTCTTTTTTCCTTCTCATATGAGAAATGGCCGCTGAGAGTGTGTCCCCTATCGTCTCAGACTCCACTGAAACAAAATTTTACAGGGGATAACCGGAATAAGTCTTCACATCAGTAATTAAATCATTATCCAATGGAGAACAAAACACTGAACAGGGAGAACTGAATTAGCTCGTCCTTTAAACAGCTGACTAAGCATAGACCGACCAGTAAAACAAAGTTGTTCACTAAATCAATGGCTGAATTCAGCTTCAAAATACTTCAATTATTTGGCTGGCTCCTCGAGCAGGCAAGATAAAGCAAATGTTGCGTTCTGTTTGATCACCCGAACGGGCAAGATGTCACCGCTCGGGATTTGCCGCCTTGTTTCCGAAGGAAGATTTTCATTTGTTCGGTAAATTGGCCTTGTTCTTCTTTATTGTTTTTGCATTTTATGGACCAAAACCAGGTAAATAAAAACACAAAAAACGAACTTGGCCAATATCTAGTATATCTTTTACCCACATGGTTGGCTCACATTGTTTCGGGGCAATGATGGATTTTTAAAAAAACTATCAAACAAACTTTCTAGACCATGATCCTATTTTCTTTTTGATTATTGATAAGAATGTGTTCTGGTTCGGTTTTATTTTCTTAAACGCTCGCGAGATTTCTACTTTAATTACGTTTTTCAGTGGCTTTTGAGATTCAAAAAAGGCTCTGTAATTTGCATGTAGGTGAGACGAGACAAGTTAATCCGGCTATGATTATGTGATATTATCAATTGTCTGTTTTAAGATTGAGGTTGTCCAAAGTGAACTGCTTTTATCCAGTACAAGAAAACGTTTCGCCAGTGAATGTAAAATAAACCTAAGTCTCTTGTTGTTGAATGTTGAAAGTAGTTGCCAAGTGATAAATAGGTCTGTGGTTGATTTTACTGTGCAAATTTGTGGTTGTAGTGTCCGCCTGTAGAGGTGATATTAAGTCTCAGCGCTAGCGATTAACAGACAAGGAAGTGAAATTTGAGCAAATCAGTCACCCATGCTCAACTTCCGCCGTTTGGGTTTTAGATTGTTGACCTTACTCCCATTTTCAATTTAATTTGTTCAGTGAAATCCGTGGTTGATAGCTGCGTTCGTTCAAATTTAGTAAATGGAGCTAAATGTTGCAGAAGTTGGCTCGTACACTTAAGCCGTAAAAGAAGCCGCAAAGAAGGCTAGTGGCTCGTGGAACAGGGGCACCCAACGAGAATATAGTTCAAAACCACTTAAACATAGCATTGTAAAACGTATTTTAGTATTTAAACAGTAGATATAGGCATATTTTCATCCCCTAAAAATTTTTCATCTGTTCGGATTTCCTAGCTGAAAGTCTAGTGATCCGAAAATTATGGGGAACAAAACTTACCTTTTCGAAAATTTCAGCCAGAAAAAAGACTCCTGAAAATTCTAGGTGACCTTTTTAGGGTAAAAATCCGTTAGAAATGGGCAATTATACCATTTTTTAGATGTTCGAAAATCCTAGGAGAGGCAGGCAAGCAAGAAATTTTACAACAAATGTTTCGAAAATTATAGATCTCAAATCGTCTTCCGAACAGATATTCTTCCGAAAATTGTCGTTGGGTGCCCCTGGTGGAAGTCCGCCCTCAAACTGTTGAATGCATGCCTTCACTAACAATGCTAGATAGAAACGATGATCGCGGGGTCTTATTTTGTGTAATAAATATATTAAGAATTCAGACTGAGCTTTACCGGTACAAGATCGACCGTGAGCAGCTTTAATGATTTGCAATTGCTCCCTTTCGTCCTTTTTACTGGACCGAGTTAGGACTTTTATATTTAGAGTCTATTTAGGTCACGTAGGAGGGCTAAGTATGCAACGCTCAATCTCTTCGTCAAATTAGATCTGAAACATCTACAAGTCCTTAGAGTATAAAGAGCAAAAGGCCTCTCTTCCTCACGTCATTCTTCATTCTCAGCCGAGTCTCTCAATTTACTTTGCCATTAATTTTTATTACAAAGTAACAGGTTTTTATGCTTTGAGAGCCTTCTCTAACATCCATTTTTCAAAATATAAGTAATTATGTAATTTTAGTTTCTTGTTTGCTTTTTAAGGTTCCACTCAAAAGTACTTTTAAGGAGTTAATCTTGAAGTTTCAATTACAGTAAGGCTGGTAGAACTATAGCCGTTTCAAAACCACCTCAATCAAAGCCCTTTTAGTTATACTCTGTCAAAAGGGGCTGCTCAAATGTATGTGGAAAGTTTGTGACAAACTGTTTTGTTTATAATTCAAAGCGGAACTATGGACTGAACTTCAATGCCGGCCAATACATTATCACCTGTTTCATTATACTATACCGTATTCCCATCATGATACTAGAGAAATCACAGATTCGTTACGTGGTGCCTGTCCGATATTGGCCTCTCTTAATTTTAAGATTAATTTTAATTCAGCTGTTTAACAGTTATCACAAAATTATAATTTGCTCTTTTCATTTTTAAATCCGTTAATGCGTTTTGACAGTCAATTGTTCTAATTATGAATATTTATGCGCATTTTAGAACTTAGGTTAACCCTTTGTTCACAAATCACGTCTCTTTCACTATGAACATCCATTTGGCAATTTCTTTTTATAGATGAAACAATTTGCGTGGATGTAAATATTGAATTACAAATCCAATAACAATGTTAGCTGTAATAAAAAAACAGCTAAATAAAATTAAATGAACTGTTCTTTTCAATGATAATGCCATAGGAACAGGCGCCTAAACACTGAGACACACTCGCTTTCTATGTCAATGTGATATTGTAAATTAAGAACTTCCGATTGCTTCAAACCAGCTTTATCATTCTACAGTAAGATTTCTCGGCTGAGTAACACGTTGCCGACAAAAATTATTACCTTCGATGCTAGAAAGCTTTCCTGAATACAAAAGCAGCGGATAAAATTTTCGATACCTGTTGCGTGTTGTGATTTGCCACACGCAACACTAAATGACCTAAATCTCTGGGGCAAGTTGACGGTTCAGTGATTGACATTCAAGTGCCTTAAAACTGAAACGCGTTTATTAAGTTAACCGTGAAATCCAGTGTTTGCTCAGAATCGGCAAACGTAAGCTGCTGCTGTCTCGTCACCTCCAACAAAGTTATATGAAGTTCACAACAATAACATGGCTATTCCAAGGGAGCAAGGAATACCACCTAAGTGTGATAGTTTAATAAGAACTCGACGATTGAACCAGACTCAATCTTTCCTTCTTGAACAAAGACTTAAGGTGTTGGATTGTAAAAAGAGTCAGAAGAATGCGGAGTTTCACGTTGAGAAACATTCTCTTCGAAAGCAGATGGAAGAGATCAAGTCCGTACGAAAAAACTTGGGAATCAGTGTTGAGAGAAGGAAACTTCTCCGCTCTCAAGGATACACAATAGATACACGTTCGACTAACAACGATGACGCGGTTGTTATCAAGAAATATTCCATGCCTGAGTTGACTAACCAGAGAACTTCAAATAGGCAAAACCACATCCTGAACAACGGAGAAATAGTCAAAGGACTAACACAGTTTAAATTACAAGAGACAGGAGAAATGGAGACAGGAAACGGTTGTGAAGAACCCCCGAAAACAGATCTTGCTCGGTCCCGCGCAAGACACCAGTTTAGGATTATTGAACCACCGAGCCGACCGGGATCACGACGTAATTTTGTTCAACTTTCCAATGATAAACTAAAGGAATTAAAGAAGAAAGAAGACGAGGAATCAGGAGAAACTTTACTTGATTCTAATATAAAGTTAGATTATCGGGGTAAGATCTTGTCGCCACGGCTTGTAAAATCTTTGATGAATAACTCACAGTTTGATATAGATCAAGGAGAAGAACATTTTGAATCATGTGAGTCATGTGACGGATCTATTTCGCAGAAAAGGAAAAATATTATAAAGGAGATTTCTGAGTTAAGACCTTCAAGTGCGCCCCAGCTAATCCCGCTCTGTTCAGAAGAAAACCAGGCTTTTACAGAAAGTGGTGATTCAAGTGACGCAACCCTAGGGACTAAAGAATCAACGAAATTGATATCAAAGTCGTGTGAGAGCTTGGATCATATGACGGAAGTATGCACACCAGACAGCTATCCAGACTTAAATGACAGCGCCTCAGGTGATGTGATAAGCTATCATAGAGAAGACAAGTTAACAGCTGTTTCAGGAGTAACTAAACCATCCCAATTGGCGTATGAACCAATGAGAAAACACGCCACGTGTGCTAGTAGGACTCCGATAAGGCTAGCATTTGTTGAACCACTGAAAGGAACGTCTAACAATCAACAAACCACGTTTAAGAAACGCTCTAGCGCTCAAATGGAAATGGGTGGAAATAACGCAGAAAACTCACCACATGTACAGTTGTCAAAAAAGGCTGGTCCTGTGAGAAGAGTAACGCTGCCCTCAAAATTTTTTAGTGGTGTTCACTGTCAAGAATCTGTTAAAAGCCATGGAGAAAATAGTGGTAGAGAATCCAAAAGAATGAGTGTTGGTTCTCAGTCTATGAACATTCGTAAATCCAAAGTGACCGCATTTTCATAGGATCCAGAACGCAGCAGTCGCTTGACTGGCGCGGTCACTTACGCTTACGACGCGCGACCAGGTCGGTCGCTTTGTAAAGGATACGTCACTATGCAAATGACCGTCAAGGGAAAACAAGTCAAAGTACATATTCCTAAGTTTCCCAGTGATTCAGACTCACAGCCTGTTCTTGAGAGAGCTCGCAAAAAAGTAGCGGATGATCGACTCCATGATAGAATGTTACGCGAGAAAGAAAAAGGTGAAGACTTAGAAAAAGTGTCTGAAACATGATGGTCGCTCATAAAATATCAGGATGTCCGGTCTGTTCTATAAAAACGTAACTCCGCGGTAATCTTTTACCTGTATTCCAATGGTCCTTCTATAATCATCTAGTTTTCTTGGAAAAAGCTGGAATGGGCCCTTTGCAGAGAAACGGTCACATTAGCCTGCGAGCAGTCTCACCGGTGGTTTCGGGGAAATGCTCCGGCGCAAGCTGGCAAAGCCGGCGAAAAGGATGGGGCGAAAAGGGAGGGCAAACGACGCAGTGCAGTGGGGGAAGAAAAACAAAGAGATTTTATCATTCAAAGAGCTAATAATATCCTTTCTTTTCCCACTGTATTGTTTGCCCTCCAGTAGGGTGCCTATGTACCATGTGACAGTTTCTCTTTAAAGGGCCTATTCACCCCATTGAGATGTGCAGCCATGTTATCTGAAATACACAACCCTTTAGTTACTCTGTATCCGCGCCAAAACGCCACGCATGTTGACTTCATGTTGTCAGTCAGAATGTGAACAAATTCTTGAGATCTCTCATGTGAGTTACTTTTTACGCTTTCCTTAGTTAATTTTTTAAAAATCCTTTTGCCCAACAAATAAAATTTAACAAATTTGCTGCTTGCGTCAGTTTGTAGTATTCCATCAGAGGAGAAGAAAGTCTGTTACTTGGATGAATTCTCATATCAAACGACTTATTCGCCAGAAACCTCGGCGTTTTATTGCAGCCTGTCGAAGTTAGCAAGATTGGAGCAAGATTGTGCATCAGGCACAAAGCAATGAAAAAAGCCCACCAGGAGTATGCAGTGGCGGATCCAGGGAGAGTATCCGGTGGGTACGGATCCCCCACTTTCAGACCTGACGCTTGTTTGAAACTCAAATTCCTACATCGACGGCATCTTATATCACTCTGGCTGATTTGTTTAGACCGTGTACAGACGTCTCCCCTCCCCCAGGAAAAAATTGGGAGACGTCTGTACACAGGCTAGATTTGTTTAATGAAACGCGCATTGCATTTTGCCACTAAACTAAATTTCGGGGATATTAAAAATGTAATGGTTTTTGGGATCTGTTCGTCTCTGCTCGCAAAGCAGTATTTCCCGCGCCAACGGCAAGCAGCGTTCACAGATTGAGAAACACGTGGTCGTCTCTGTGAGAAGTAATTTGCCACAAAAAAGTTCAACAGTCCTTTCTTAACCAAAGTTTGGACTCCTCCCACCCGCCCCCCAGCCCAATAAAAAATTCCTGGATGGATCTGACACTGGTATGTCAGCGGTCTACTTGATACTAATGACGCGAGTCCCGCCTAGCACCAAGCCAAATATCACCAGAAGATTTTGGCAATACATTTAAAAAGTCAAACGCAAAGATTTGACTGGTATACCGATACTTAAATGCCAAATATCACTAAAATTTCGGAGGAGTCAGCAACACGTCTNTATTAAAAATGTAATGGTTTTTGGGATCTGTTCGTCTCTGCTCGCAAAGCAGTATTTCCCGCGCCAACGGCAAGCAGCGTTCACAGATTGAGAAACACGTGGTCGTCTCTGTGAGAAGTAATTTGCCACAAAAAAGTTCAACAGTCCTTTCTTAACCAAAGTTTGGACTCCTCCCACCCGCCCCCCAGCCCAATAAAAAATTCCTGGATGGATCTGACACTGGTATGTCAGCGGTCTACTTGATACTAATGACGCGAGTCCCGCCTAGCACCAAGCCAAATATCACCAGAAGATTTTGGCAATACATTTAAAAAGTCAAACGCAAAGATTTGACTGGTATACCGATACTTAAATGCCAAATATCACTAAAATTTCGGAGGAGTCAGCAACACGTCTTCCTTAAAAATATATAAATATAATTCACCGGCTGGGAGGCCGTGTATTGGGAGAAACTGTGCCCTTGCCTAGTCCCTGTACGGCGTTTTCCCAGTCCCTCTCGGTCAATTCGTTTCGGTGACGTATCCAAGGCGAACGGGCGGGAAACGCCTCAAATTTTCGCGTAGACCACGTGACCCGAAACGCTTTGGCCGCGAGGAAAAATGAGGCCTAGGGACTAGGCAATAAAGATACTACACCTCACGGGCTACTAAAGCTAGATATTAAACAAGAGAAGCAAGGCTGATTTTACAGTCGGGAATATTTCGAACAACAACACTTCGGAAGGCACAGCTTTCCTTCCTTTCATGGTCTCACATACAATGATGAGGTTAAGCTTAAGACGTAGACTTTCAAAAAAGTCCTTCGTCGTAGTTCATATGGCGCGGGACGAAGGACTTTTCATACTTGATTGGCGCCAGTTTTACCGACTCAAAAACCGGTCGCAACCTCGTTCCCAGGGGTTCTCTCCTACCGGTCGGTGCGCTTGGACCAATCAAAGTACCTCCCAAGGACCCTTGGGGATAAAGTTGTCACTCACAAGTACTAAGCGCATTGAAACGTGACTTGCGGTTCAAATTCCAACATGGGGTCGATTGCGAAAG